GGAATCTCAATTCCTCCATGGGGAACATCTGCAGGAAGCCCTGAAATAGCTCCTTGAAAAAAATTGCTGTTCTCCCTGAATGTAGAACAGTAGCCTCTGAGACTGGAAATTTCTGAACATTTCCCCTGCCATGCAATAAACCTCTCTTCTTCCCTTTTCAAAATTGTGTCCTCATCAATGCATGGGGGCAAAAAACAAGCTTTTGATAACTTGGCCACCAAAGAAAATGCGTGGGTTAGTAATTTTAAAGACATCTTTACTCTTATATGTTTAACCACTTTTTTCCTTAAATGTTTAAGCCATGTGAAATAAAAGCTATTTGGGTCCATTTATTTTTTAATTTTATTTAATTTATGAGGGCTCAATTATCTATATGCCAATTTGGGGTCCATGTAAATGGTATACAAATACATATGTAGACACAAAAACAACACATAGGTGCATACACATATACATAAAATTAACAGAAAACAAAGATTTTACAACTTTTTGCCAAGTATGACTTCCACAGGTAGGAAAAAAAAAGAGCTATTTTAATGCCAGATTCGTGGGACCCCAATAAACCTCCAGGAGCCGAATCTGATGCAATCACACAAGAGTCCTTATTGCAAGCTCCAGCCTGGACTCACAACCATTTCTGACACAGCGGTCCGAGGAGTGAGTCCTGGTCCTTAGTTCATTGAGGATTTATAGTTTTGGGGGGGATACTTATGCCTCACAACGTCACACAGCAAATCATTTCACACCATGGGAAAATCAAAAAACAACTCTTAACATTGATTAGCTCATTCATTGGCAGGAATAAGTTGGGTAAGGGTGATTGGTTAGTTCAACTGGTGGATACGTTTGAACTGGTCAGTTTAGGCCAATCAGGGGTTGCAAGAGTGTATATGCTAAACTGCAGGGTTGCCTAATCATGTTATCAATCACCGAAACTACTGGGAAGGTCGCCTGGTATTTCAGGTATCTTCCCTGTCTCACTCTGATTGGTTGTTGCTATGGTCAGAACTTAGGCCTCAAGCATTCTTTGGTCTTTCCAGGAACTTGCATTGCTGAGTCAAGGACATCTGGTCACTGCAGTTAGGGATATCTGGCTCTGCAGGCCTTTCCTGTATTTATGGACAAATGACTCAGCAGGGTAGCTATGTGTCTAGGAATGCTCTGTGGGTTTTCCAAGGACAAGGGTCACACACACCCCCTTTGGACAGGCCCTGCTCTGAGGTAGAGGCTGGTTTTTCAAAAATGAAGTCACATCAGTTTCTCACTATGATGTTTATTATATAGACTATCAGATTTAGCCCTTTAGAAATTAAAATAAAGCCTGTGAATTTGGGAACATTAGAAACAGAGCCTCACCAGTCTTGGTGGATGCTGAAGTCAAAGGTTAATCTGGCCACTTCCCCTTTATGAGTGCAGATTGATGCCCACCATCACCACTGTTTATTTGCCCTGAGTAGGACTCTTCAAAGGAGAAAATCCCTCTTATCCCCCACCCCTTGTATTTAAGAGTTAACCCTTGAACAATTGGTCTCTGAATACAAGCAGCAGAAAGAAAAACAGAGGGCATAAACTTCAGTTAGACAAAACAAGACTAATTGATGCAAAAGCAAAGGTGACTTCATCATAACACCTTGAGCTCAAAAAGACACAGAGTGAAAGAATAGCACAGCCATAGTGACTTTTGTAGAGGACTGTGTTGAACATCTTTATGAGAGCAGAGTATACTTCTGGATCAGATTACAGTCAGTCCAGATACTGAAAGAACGTGGGATCCTGTAAAGTCTTTAGAAAAGGTTTTTAAGAAAAAAAAAAACACCTTTTTTTTCCTTCCTTTTCATCCTTCCTTTTTCGCCCCTTATGCCCACCTGGAGAGCAGAGTAAAACCCCAAGGAAGTAGGGCATTCCCTATTATTCCCAGGTTGGTCAGGCTCTGTTATCAGGCATTTGCAGAAAATTACAGAACTGACCCCTGAAGCTTTGGAAAATGCCTGTATTTTCCCAAAACAGTATGGAGACTTCTCACATGACCTTAAAAGGTCCAGGACTTGATCTACCTAAACTCTCCAGATCCCCTCCATCTGTCTCTTCTAAATTTGTTTTTGTTTTTATTTTTAGCACTAGAGAGGAACTTAGCAGAATCCCAGAGCACAAGAACAGATAAAACAACCATTTATGTCCCACAGCAGCTTTGATTTAAAAGTGCTTTTCTTCTCTGCCCTCAAACTAATTTGGGCACCTGCACATGTAGCTTACATTTTAGCTGGGCATCTCAGCGTCTATTGAAGAGGGCTGTTGGCAGAGTCCTTCTGGCACTTCTCAGTCAGAATACACAGGGTTAAAAGTGGCAGTTCCATTCACTCCCCTTCAAACATGAGGATTCTGCTCATGCAATCCAGACTACTCAGACAACTCTAGGAGGTGATCAGGCTTCCCTGCTACCTCTTAGAGACAGGTCTGCCTCTCAAATCAGGTTTCTACCTGTTCAAGAGGCAGTGTTCCCTGCACTGGTTCTTGGACCCCACCAGGCTCCTTTATGCTCTTATGGTTTGCCCTGGCATGCCTTGTATCCTATGGATCAATCAGTCCTCTGGCACCAGGCAAGGTCACTACTCTCAGGTTCCCAGGACTCACACCAAAATGACAAAGGTGGTATAATCACCACCTCTGTATCCTGGATGAGTCCCCAAGAACTGTGGGGTTCTCCCACAGAAAGAGCACTGGGACCTTCACCAGGAAGCAACATTTACTAGAGCCACCACTGGCCCAGCGGATGTGCATCCACAGGCTGAGCACCCTTGCCTTCTGTACCTCTTGGGAGTCCCTTTTACTTGCCAGCTCTTTGTCTCCCATCTAAGGTAATACACATGCTGACTGGACATTCTATTTCTACAGAATAGAGTTGCAACAATGTAAGATGTGCACATTGATACTGATAGTGCCATGTTATCTTTCATTTGTTCTGAGAAAGTCCCTACCATAGGGGCAAGGGATGGAATAATGACAAGTTCATTTTTTAAATCTATCACTAAACATAGGTGTTGCTATGAAACAACTAGAAATATCTGGCAGTATGAAATGGTACAATGGCTTTGGAAGAGAAGTTTCTAATAACTATGTAAAAACATGGCAAAGACCCAGAAATGTCACCCACAGTCACACCAAAGAGATACAGAAACACAGGAGATCTTGAGCAGTGATGCACACTGTAATCCCAACGGCCTGGGAGGCTGAGGCAGGAGGATCACACGTTCGAAGCCAGCCTCATCAAAAGTGAGGCATGAAGCAACTCGGTGAGACCCTGTCTCTAAATTTAAAAAGGGGGGGGGGGGGGGG